CCTTCCTTCAAGGTAATGAGATGCTCCAGCTCTCTCTGTGGAGGTAGGCCCTGAGGAGATTGAAAGACCTCACTGAACTGATATATGAGCGGATGAACTGAAGTAGGAATACCTTCCACATCTTCCAGTCAGACCCCTTCCAAGCGCTGCAATTCCATCAAAAATTCTCCTCCCACCTCCTATATGGTCCTGATTTGAGACTTGAGAGATACCCAGTCTTGGACAGCTCGAGGTCGCCCAAAATCACCATCCTCCTCCCCCTACCACCAGCTCCATCTGCAGTGCTCCCCAATTGAACTTAGTATCCCCCAAGGTCTGTAGCTACTTCATCCCCAGAATGACATCAGTGCTTCCCAAGTCCAATGGCAGAAATTTCTCCCTCACCTAGATCCCCTAAATAGTCAACACTACTCCCCTACATACTCGTCTAGCCATCTCCACCTTTTCTGTACTCATCATCAACCCGTAGCCCCCAATATCCACTAATTTCACCCCTAACAGATCAATAATTTGATTGTAGATGAAATTGTGGGTTGCCCCACTGTTTATCAACACCACCACCTCTCAGTCAGCTATTTCTCCATTCACTTTCATTGTGTGATTCAGGATGAATTCCACCATTGATTTTATAGAAACTTTCGCCACTTTCAAATGCAACTTCTCATCCTCCACCACTTGCCTGCTCTCTCCTCCTGTTTAGTTTTCTTATCATCGCAGACGGTGAGAACATGAAGAGTTCAGTCTTTACACCTATGCCCTAGCATGTACTTTTCATCACATCTGAAGCACAACCCCTTGCACGCATCTCCTGCAACTCCTCAGTGAGCTTCTTGAAAATTTCTTCCAAATCCCCCTTATTCAGACTTCTCCTTTGGTACTTTACGCAAACCTACTGGTGTAGCTCCTTTGGAAGCTAGAAAAGTGGTAGCCATCCTGTATGATCCCCCCGAGTTATTACCTCTAGCCCCCTCTCCAGATGCTTTTGGTCCTCGACCAACTATGCCAATTCTATGGCCTCCCCTAAGTCATGTGGCCTCATCACTCTAACAGCTGCTCTAATATCTGATTTGAGCCCCTTCATGAAGTTCCCCTCTAACACGATCTCAGAAAGCCGATCTAGCCTACTAGCTAGGTACTCAAACTGATCACGGTACTCTACCACGGTCCCCTCCTACGTCAGGAAGAAGAATTGCTCATAGAAGATCCCGCCCTTACTAGTTCGAAAATGCACTAGTAAGCAATCCTTGAACTCTCTCCAACTTCGAATGAGTCACCTCATGTCCCTCCACTGATACTAGGCTAGCCCTTTCCCTTCCAAATACAATCCAATTGCTGTCCATTTCTCCTCCATAAGCCCAATGACTGCAAAGTATCACTTAACCTTGTATATCCACCCATGTACATCCTCACCCTCAAAGATGGGCATCTTTAGCTTCCTTACGCTCAGGTTACCCCTATTTCCCTTAAATACTCCGTAGCCCCCTGTTCCTCGAAGAGGAGGTGCTCCCTAATTTTCATGCTCTTCCCTTCGACGCTCATACCCAAAACCTTCTTAAAAATCCCCTCCTTTCAAAATTAGCAACCAGGCGATCGTAATCTTTCCTTCCCCTTGCAAAATCAGCACCTCTTCCTTCGTACCCCACGCTTCTCTCCTCCCTACAAAGTGGCTCTAGGAGAGGCATCCCATCTTCTCCCTCCAAAATTTCCACTTCCGAATTTCCCCTCCCCCTAAACGGATTAGAGTTTCCACCTCTCCCATGGCCATCGATGGTTTCCTTCGCTTCCGATGTCGCCGGATGTGGATTGGCTTCAAGCAATTTCTTCAACATGTCTTCCACCACTGTGAACTTTTCTTCCATCCTTTCATTGACGGATGTGACCTAATTTTGAAAATAAAAAATCTTCTTCTCAAAATCTGATTTGAGTTGGCCAAGTTCTCCCTCCATAACTTTCACTTTCCTTCCAGCCATTAGATCCCCTTAGATCGATGTGCTCTAACACCAATTTGATAGAAAATAACCACCAAAACAGAGAAAACTTGCAGAAATTTAGAGAAAAATAGCAAGTTTGAACAAATTTTGATGAAAAACTCTAGGGAAATCCCAAAAACAGCATTTGAAATTCACTAATAGTTGAAAGAACGCAATCTGAAACAATGAATCTTCAATTCAAGAGGAAAATTCCACTCTCCAAATCTCTAGTCTAAGATTATAGCCCCAAAAGCAAACACAAGAGATCTCAAACTTCAGCCCGAATTCAAGATGACCCTAACCCTAGCCAAAAAGGAGAATACTTAAAGCAACAATACAATTACTAAATGATTAATCCCTAAACAGCCCCCCACATTTGAATTTTATCCACTAAACCCAAGCTCCCATCAATGCTTGGGCCCCACCCTTGTTCCGACCCCTTCCCAATTCTAGGAGTAGTCATATAGCATATATTCCTTTGCAATGTATGATTTGAAAAGTGAAATAAATTTGTTTATTTATTTCTCGTCATCAATGACCTGGGGGTTATAGTGGTGATAACTACTTTCAGAGAGAAACTTCTCTAAAACATCTGTAGTTGATATAATTTGTCCATAGTAAACTTGCTCCTGAATCGTAGGAAGCTCTTCATTCATAGCACTTAGAGAGAAATCTTCAATGGGCTCATGTACAGGACTATTTAGCAATAGATAGCAATGCAGGATAGATAGCTCAAGATTGTAAACAAAATGGTTGGTCCCTTCAGCCTCTTTCATATATTTAGTTTCTCTTTGAACTTTTAGAAGCATATCTGGGGAAGGAGATCTGGCCTTAACTAGCACCGTTTCAACAAATGCTTCCTCAACTTGATGAACCTGAATAACATCTATCACATCTTTTATCTTTCACACCCTAGGATCGCCACCGCCCCAATAACTTCTTCCTCCTGTGTAGCGGATGTCATGATCCCTCCATGTCTCCCTCATGTATCAAGGGTGGGCATCCCACCCTCTATCCATCCGCCTTGCATGACCCGATCCCCATGACTCATCTCGACATCCTCCATCTACGATCACCTAATCCCCTTGCCTGAAATGCCTCCCATAATAGTTGGCACCACCACCTCCACAATAAAATTCCCTCTTTGTTGTCCCCCCATCCAGAAATCCTATTCTGTCCCTTATCGGAGCCCTAGGAGACGGCTCTTGATGAAAGGAACTCTCTTCGTTTAACTCTTCCCGTCCGATTTCTTTCCCTTTAAATTCAACCAAGGGAATCCTGATCAAATCTTGATTATGATTAGCAGGTAGAGCCATCGGCGTGATTATTGATCGCATCCATGAGCGTTCTCATCATCTCCTCTAGAATTATCTTTCCCTTCAGTTCAGCATTAGGGATTGTCGATGAAGCTTTCAACTATATCTTGATTATTTTCTCATCATATTTTCCAAATTCCCAAACCTTCCTTCCATCGTTGAAAAATGCTCATTCAATGATCTCATATCCATTCTCAGCTTCCTTACTTCCCTCTCCAACTTTTCTTCCAAAACATCAACTTTTATCCCACCATTGATCCCAATAAATTACTCTGATACTAATTTTATACGCCTTAGAATAAAAAACAACCAACAAATTAAGAGAAATTCAATAAACTGTAAATTGTTATTGATATGAAATGAAATACGAACAAGCAAGATACAATGGTCTGGGATGTCAATAATTGACGACCCAAAAATCTGACTCAAACCTGACCAAAAAAATTTCAGGTTAGGGTCAACCCGGACCCGAAAGAGGTTGGGTTCGGGATAAAAAATTCGACCCATTTCAAAAATTGGGTTGGGTTCAGGTTGGCTCTTTGATCCGAAATTGACCCATTTTTTACATGAAAACCCATTTTCGACCCAAAAACCCGAGATTGACCCATTTTTTGCTCAAAAAGCAGAGATTGACCATTTTTTTACCAGAAAACTAGTAATTTTTTCACTAGCCCGAGTCATTCGGGTCGTGTTGGGTTGACCCAGACCCGAAGAGGGTCGGTTTCGGGTTGACCCAGACCCGTCGGGTTCGGGTTGACCCGAATAGTGCCAGAATAGTTTCGGGTTCGACCCGTGACTCAAAATTGACACCCCTACAATGTTCCTCTTTCGAGAGGAGCACATTCTCTCCCAAATTCTAGACACCATTAGAATCTCTCACAAAAACAGTGGACATAAAATACTTACAAAACTCATTAATAGCATGATCCTAAAACCTTAGATAACTCCCCCTTAAATAGCCACAGAACATAAGAACCTAAACAGAACTTTCCTAAATAATTTAAAGACAATTTAGGAAATCTTCTTAAACAAATAAACGTAATTTAGGAAACATTTTTAAACAATTAAACATAATTTTGGAAACTTTTCTAAATAAATTAAACATAATTTAGAAAATCTTCCTAAATAATTAAACATAATTTAGGAAACATTTCCAAATAAATAGAACTTTTTCTAATCAACATAAATATAATTTAGGAAATCTTTTTAATTAAATAGACCTTTCCTAATCAAATCCTCCCACATTAAATCTTTCCTAACACACAATAAACATATTTAGAACCTTTCTAATTTAAAACCTTCGTGATAAAAACCTTCCCAAAACACCTCTTTCTTAATTACTCCTCTTTGCATGACAGCTCTCCTAGGCCCCACAAAGCTAGCCAAATTTCCCCTCTGGCTCCCCTTCTGCTTCCGCTCAGCCTTGGCTGGTTCCGCTCCCACTGGAGTGGCCGACTGGGTTGGTCCAGGTCTTCTCCTGCTACTACTGCTGCCCCTCCTGCCGCTGCTGCCCCTCCCCATTGGCATATCAGATTGGTGATAAATTATCTGCTAAATATGTCTCACATCCATGGTTGTTGTGAGGTGGTAATGTTTTCATCTGGACTAGAGTATTCTACAAAAGAAGAATGCTTTACTTCCTTTTCAACTAATTCTTTCATAACACAACTAATGGACAGTTGAATATCCTCTAAACTGAAAATTTTGTGTGTAGGTACAAAGGCAATTACAGCTTCGCATAGAAGCACAGGGAAAGTATTTACAGTCCGTTCTAGAGAAAACTGAAGAGACTCTTGGCAAGCAGAACTTTACTTCCATGGGGCCGGAGGATGCCAAATTTCAACTCTCTGAACACGTTTCCAATGCGTTTAATAAGTGCTTACCTACCGAGTTTCCAGGTTTTAAAGAAACGGCCCATTTACCTAGGCAACACGCACATACTACTCATGTATATGATGGTTCAACGGGTAGTTGTTTGACATCAAATGAAGACATAGGAAAGGATGATGTTGGTATGTTCTTCAGAACATACCACAGCGATTTATTCGTTCAGAATAATAAGAGTTGTGATATTGCTATGTTTGAAGAGACTCCAACAGCAAGATGTGGGGAAGTGAATCATAAAGAGCTAGTCCATTCATCATTACCAAGTGAAGTGGATGCAATTTTCATGATTGAAGGAGGTTCTGCTTTATTTTCACTGAATACAACTCATGGGCTAAATGAAAACAACAGCATTGCAGATGCAAGCAGGAAAGAGACAGAAATAGAGTACCCTTACCTCGGAATCCAAAATAGCAAAACTTTGGAAATTCTGCAAGGCATAGAGAAGCAGTCAAGTCAGTTTGGGTTTTCAAGCCGAATTACACAACTAGATTTAAACATAAATGATAATAACGAAGATTTAGAAGGTTGTAAGCAGTTTGATTTGAATGGTTTCAATTAAAGTAAAAAAAAAAAAAAAAAGAAGGAACGGAATATTCAGAACCGTGGTCACTCCATGGACATCTGCTATAGTTGTAATAGACTGCTATAAAGCCCATTGACGCAATATGAGTAATTAAATAATAGTCGGATAGCAAAAGGTGACCATTTGTACTTTATTATGGTATTGCTAATAAAATAAAAAATTAGACCATTTGGCGTGTACAATGATGTAGTTGACAAATAAAAAAGACAATTTTGAAGCCGCAATTTTTGATCCCAAGATTGGATTGGATGGGAAAGAGGGTTGATGTTAGAATGATCGCCAATTGTAAAAACTGTCAAAAACAATTAAATAAATTGACTGTGAACAAGGTGCCACGTGGAATAAACTTCTTAGCATATTTTGTTGACATCAATGAAAGTAAGCAATGATTCAAATATTGAATCATACTAGCATGAAAAACTGCAGGTCATGGAAAACAGTACATCTATATTTCTTAAAGCACATGGTTAGAAACACTAATATTGTTGGATCCAATTTGTTCATGGGTGACACCCGACCTTACTAGCAGACTAGCTTTGACAGGTATGACTTGAACCTATGTGAGAATGGAGAAAAAAGGGAGTAAATTGTGAAAAATGGTCTATTAGCTAAAGTGTCTATGGAAAATGCCAACATATCTAAAATGTTCCTCTTCACTATTTACTTATAGGAATCGGAGAGGTACAGAAAGAGCTAAATAAATAAAAAAAAAAGAATAATAGTACAGCAAATGATGACCCATGTTACAGACTACTTTACATATGACTCATACTCTAGTTAGCTCGATAGATGATTGCATCTCTCATTTGTTTATCCTTTAACTCGGGTAGAATTCCTTTGTACCGAGTTTGTACATATATGAATAAGTGGGTATGCTGGTGAGGGTCGAAAAGAGAGGACTCTGGATGGTGAGCGGTCCGAAGTCATTAGCGACCTTTTGATGGAGCACCATATTGCTTCAACTTGGGAGACAAATATATTCAAGTTGTAGGAGTAATGAGCTCCACGGTCAATTGATTGTGAAGGAGCGAGCTATAATCCTCTTGAGAAGACCTTTTCCTATAACCGAGATGGCAAGCACTGCTAATGTTGTTTCACACTGGGTATGCGTGAATGACTTTTATGGACATTTCTCGTTGGGGCACGAGTTTCGAGTTGAGTAGTCTGTGTGAACCTTTAGCATTTCATGTGAGAGATGACTCCCCTCTGACAATTCTGCCAAGTTAAGGCTTGATGACTTTTGGGTGAGTTCTCAATTCGATTCGATTTGATTCGACTCGATTTAACTTTAAATTAATTTGACACGAATTAACTCAATTCGACTTGATTTGAGTAAATTTGATTCGATTCAATTCAACTGACTTGATTTGACATAATTGAGTCAATTCAATGGAATTAATGTTAAATTGAACAAGAAAATTGATTAATTTCAATCGATTGCTAAATCGAGTGAAAAATTGAGCCAAAATTGAATCAATTAGTCAAATTTACTTAAATTAAATTGTCTTTGGTCAAAATTGAGGCTAAATTTATTTTTATGAAATCGACCCAGCTCGATTAAAAAATTGAGTAAACAGAATGACCCCCAATACGTGTAATGAGTTTATGCAAGTACACTACACGTATTGGCATTGACCAAAATTGATAAAGTAAGGTTCTCCTATGAGGACCACTATAACAGTAATCAAAATAGATGTGATAACCTGAATTGATTTGATAAGTTGACATGTTCAACTTTATATCTTCTGTTAACATTTCTGATTGTATTTTTAACATTAGATTAAGCCCTAAGGGTCTTGCATATGAAAATTGGCATGTGTGTGAAAATCTTTTTGGAGTGATGTTGTGCTAATTTCTCGACGCTGCGAAGCTGAGTTCTGAGAACAGCGGCGTCGTGATCATAATTTTTATAAATATGAAATTCCCCTAATTTCCACTATCTCATTTCATTTTCAATTGTTTGATTGTCAGCTTGGAGAGAGAGAGAGAGAGAGAGAGAGAGAGAGAGAGAGAGAGATTTTTCTAGAGAGAAATAGATTCGGGTGTCTTCGGGCTATTTTTTTCCATTAGACCAATCAGGAAAGTTATTCGGATCGACGTAGGATACATTTATTTTATCTTTATTTTTATGAGGTTTAGGAGATTTCTGGCTTTTTAATAACACAACCGTGAGGATATTCTGAAATCTAGAAAACTGTCACCATATAACTTTTGGTTTATTGTGTTTTTATTCAACTCGTTTTGACACATTTCTTCTGAAATTTTATAGGGTATTTTTTATTTTACACAATTTTGAATATTTTGATGTGCATACGAATTCTTATAGAAAGCTGCTACAGAAGAATAAAAGATAAAAAATATTGTTGTGAAGGACAGATGAAGGAAAACATGAACATTTATATATACATGGGTGTACAAGCCTGAATGGAACATAATATAAGTGCAACTTATAATACTTTTCTTTCTCCCTACATATCCGCCAACACATGAATATGACAACTTTCACATTTTTTCATAGGTATAAATCACATTTAGTATGGCGCCCGAATATATGAACTTGATAACTTAAAACATTTTTTATTTATATGAGTTACATTTCATATGATACATGAATATGCAAAATCATCACATGAACATGGAAATATTGACAATTTCAAAATGCATACGCTACATTTTATTTAATACATAAATACATGAAATTAGCACATACACGACTTTTTCAGGAGTATCTATGGAGTAAACTTACACACATAACAATAGTTAAAAATAAAAAATTATTCATGAGGAACATTCATAGCACCATTTTGAAACATTTCTTGAATTGTGACAATTTCTAGAAATAACAACAAAATTATAGAATCACCTGAGAAAAAAATCAAACCTAATCACTTAATGAAAATTTATATTTTTCTTATCAATATGCTCAGAATACTTTTTCTACAAAATACTAAAAGTTACACAATTACAACTTCCTATATCTTTTTAAATCTTTGTTTCTGTCAACCAAAATTGAATAAAATTAAAAAAATACTCACACAAATGCTAAAATTGAAATATAAAGCAGATCACCGATAAGCTACCTCGAGATAAAATTTTTTATCAATTGGCCAAACAACAATGTTTCACTGTCGGATTCCTCATATAACAACTAGAGCAAGATGTAGAAGTTTTGGCATTGTAATGGAGTAATCTTGGACTCCACTACAGCCCCTCTCCTATTCACCTTTTTGTTATAGCTAAAGGTCAAAGGAGGCTGGACTGGCCGACCCAACAGGCAGTGGAGGGGGCGAAACCTAGAATCAAATCTAGGGATATTTCAACTCCTCTTGTGGGGCCCAACAAAGAAATAATTTATTATGTTAGGAGGGTAATTAAGGAGGAAATTAATTACGTAAAGATCTCCTATTTGAATTCAAATATGCGAGGAAAATTAATAAATAAAGAAGGTTGAATTGGGGGCTGATTTGTAAGGGATTAATTAGGCAATGTTTCCTAATTACAGAGGGTAGATTAGGGGGCTGATTTAGGGGCTGATTTGGAGGGGATTAATTATGAGATGTTTCCTAATTGAAGAGGACAAATTTGGGGGCTGATTGGGAAGGGCTTTTTTTGATATTTGTTGTTTATTATTTGCTATAAGTAGTGGGGTTTATGTTATGTTTGGTATGGAGAATTTTATCTGAGAGTTGTTTAGTTTTCTTTTTGTGAGGGCTTCCTAGTGCTGTCTAGGTTGTTTGGGAGAGCTGATCTACCTCTTGAATTGTAGATCACGTATCTTGTTTTTTGTATTGAAGTTATAATTCAAAATCAGCCATTAATATTAGTATTTTTGTAGTTTTCCATTGTTTGCCTGCTCTCTTTTATCTCCAAGGCGTATCAGTTTCCAAATTTAGTAAAAATCCACCCCAATGACAGAAATTCCCTCCCCTCTCTCAGAACTAAAAACTAATTCTCCAAAAAAAAAACTTCCTTTCCTAGCATGAAAATTTGATATTTATAGGAAAATACTTAATATCTCTTAAAACACTAATTACTATACCATGCATATTAAAAGATTAGGCCAAAAGAAAGAAAAAGACTCCAAAAGAATTTAAAAAAAAAACATAAAAATGAAAAACGCCCTAGCAACGTTATATATTCTTAAACAAAAGCTAATGGAAAAGGGAAGAAAAGAAAACACTAAAGCAGTTGGCATTTTAACATCCAAACCACAGTTAGTATTTTAATTTTTTTGCATTTAAGAGATCCGAGTTTGCTTTAAGTACCGTTTATCCTTTTCATTTACATTACTGTAGTCTACTTGAGCTGGCCAACTGTTTGTAACAAGTCAATATTCCAAGTTCAGTTCTTCAATAAAAACTGACTAAAGAAACAATTCTTTTTTCAGAGGGCATTGCATGACATAAATTTTAGTAATAAGACAAGGGAATAGGCTGGTGTGAACAGCCCCCAAAAACGAACTGCTGTAGAAACGAAAGGGAGAAACAAGTAAATCTCTACATTCAGTGAGAAGCAGAATATTATGATGACTCATATTCATAAACACAAAAAAGAGCGCATAAACAAGTAGCAGCTAATGAAATAATGCAGGAAAGGAAAATAATAACAACTACAATTAACAAGAAAGCATGTAAAATTACTAAATTGGAAATAACAAGTAATTTATATTTCCAGTATAAGTTAAAGAAATTAAGAAAATTTGATAAACTTAACTCAGATGGCTGATGGAGTCATACCTGGATGAGCAACTTGACTGTGACCACGTTGAAATTGCAAAAGAGAGGACGACTTGCCCTGCTCAGGATAAAGTAACCCTATATCACAAGCTAAAATCACAGCCACCTCGCTTTAAAAGTTTTGACGCAAGGCAATCTGTTGTGGTATCAGCTTGTGCATGAAAGATTACATTTGCTAACAAAAAAGACCTCCATTCAGCATATCAAATTGCAATTAGCAAATAATTCATAGCCAAAAACCGAAGAACAAATATTAGAGAATGGTTAAATTTAAATTCAAAAAATCCTCAATCCTTCTAAAAACCCTAGTTACTAAGATCATTTCACTAATCTTCCTTCAATTAGTCTGTCTAAATAAAAAAAAATTGCAAAAAAAAAATGAATAATGGAAAATATGCCACGATAAAATACCATCCCTGCCCAAGATGGATTAAACCACTTGTAGCAACAGCATTGCCAAACAGAAACTACAGAAATTTCAACGAAATTCTCTTGCAAAATCTGCAACCGCTCTAGCATGCATAAGATGGACTAATTCAATGATTTCCCTAGGCTTCGTTTGAGACGGCTTTTTTGTTGCTTCTTAAAGCAGCTTTTTAGTTAAAAAATTAAATTTTTTATACTAGAAAGCTGCTTTAAGAAGCAACAAGAAAGCCGTCCCAAACGAAGCCTTAATCTGTTAAGTTAAAGCAGCATCATCATGTACTTGGAGATTTTAAATGAACGAAATTGCTAGGTAGTAAAAATTTAAAGAATCTTATTGGATACTACACTGTAACTGGCAGAACATCTCATGAAAGTAAAGAAATGGATCAAGAATTTAACAAAAACAATATCATCAATAGTTTTGAAAAAGTAGCTCAAGGATTTTATTTCTGCTGATCAGAAGCATGACACCATTAAAAATGCAATTAAATGTTGGGGATGGAAGTAAACACCACGATGAAACAAACAAGAAAAATAGAATCAAACAGCGGAAAGTAAATGACAGCAGGATTTAACATATGAAATTGGGGAAAAAATCATGGCGTCACAGCACACCAAGAAATCCACTCTAAAATGGAGAGAAATAAGTACAAATCTCTTCTCTCTCGCTCTCTCCTTGCTTCTATTTTCTCTTACAACATTCTCATACACAAAATAAAAGAGAAAGACAAGTTAATAACTCCAAGGGACGTCACCTTCAGAAAAACGATAAAGAAAATTGTCCAGTCCACCTCTCAGTATTGCGGCACCAGTTTGGAGCACTGCAGCACTCAAGCCTCTGCTGTCACATGTGCTGCAGTGCTTAAACCCGAAACGTTGCGACACTCTGCTCTCTTGTTTCTCCCAACAAACTCTTTGGCTTCAAATATATTCAAGGGCCTTTCTCCAAATATTACTGAAAAGATGAAAGTCAACCTCTAGATGGGTGTTTAAACACGTTGCATGTCATTCAAGTCCACCAATATTTTCCAAGTCTACAGAAAGACTTCCATTTAACAGGATTCAAACTTCTCACATCATCACTACCTTTCAAAAAGAATTGTTTTCTAATAGAAAGATAAATAGTACAAGGGAATCACACTAAACATAAAATTAAACAGGATAACTCTGCCGCCTTGAAGAAATAGTTTCATTTCCAAAAACTTGACTATATCAATAAAAGAATTCTAGAAAGCAAGGTTAACTTGAAGAAAATCAAGAAGTATTTAATAATATAATAGAGGTTGTTCTTTTACATGTGAAGCAACATAGGTAACCCCATATTCGCCGTAACATATATTCTTTTCTAGGAGCTGACAGAGCACTACTTATTCAGTAATGGGGAACATAGATTAATTACTATCTTTATTCTGTGGGATGTATAACTTATTAGTATAAAAGAACTAAATTTCTAAAACAGAAAAGATTTAGTAGAAGTCTACTTCTTAATACGCCTGACTTTCTTTTGCCCCCAAACTTCCATTCTGCCTGCTGGGCATCCACAGGGTGAGCGAAATATGAGAACAGTACGACCATTCGGTGGTGCCATCTTCTTTAACTCAGCTTCCAACTCCTTGTGATCCTGCCCCAGCTCCAGTGGTTGAGCACCAAATGCATCCTTCGGCAAGGGCGGCATAAACCTCACACACTCTTCAGATTCAAGCTGGATATCAAACTCTACGGCTTTTCGGAGTCCTCTACAATTTGGATTCCCGCATTTCCTAAATTGTTGATTGATGATCTCATAAAGCGCAAAGCCCGTGACTAACATCAGGATAATCCCGGTGGCGTAGGCTACGTATGTAGGACAGACGACCTCACCCATAAGATCAACCGCGACAGGTAACATCTCAAAAGCTTCATCGTAGATTAGTTTGAAACAGGGCACCGTTAAAACGCCGATCGAGCCGAGAACAAGAATCAGCATGAAGACGTCGATGGCGGCTTGAGGGGACTGCTCGCAGAAAGGATGTGAAAGGGGGTTGAATGATTTGAACCTTTTAATCCGAGCATGAGCTTGGTAATTCCGATTCTCCAGGGAAGACTGTAAGTTTGCCGTCTGCTGGTGCCGCTCAAAAGCCCGGCAAAACTCGATCAGGCTTCGGCAATCCACCATCGCTTCGCCAAGCCAATTCAGAGATGATAAAATTTCCTTACAGCAGCCGCTGGAAAAGCCGATTCCGCACCCGATCAAGAAATCCCTAACAGATGTCTGGAAATCCAGGAACAAAATTTGATTGGAGCCCGACGCAACGATTCAGAAATCAAAGAGTCGTCGCCTAGAGATTCCAATCCATGAAATCACAAACGATTGATGAGATCCAGTCGGAGAGCGGAAATCGGTTGAGTGCTCAAAACTCCGTTTGCGAGATATATCAAACACCCATGACTCAACCGCAATTCCGATGCTTGAATGTAAGAGATCGACCTATCGATCAATCGATCAATTGATAGCGGATCAAAGGAGGCTCGAACAGATCCAAGACTAGGTGAGAGAAGGAAGCGGAGAAGAAGAAAATATTCGAGCACGTTGCCACGCGCTGTTTGATTTGCTATTTTAGTGGTAGCGAGGGAACACTGCCGACCGAGGACGAAGTAAACGGTTGACGTGTGGGTGCAGAGACGACGTCGATTACGGAATACCCGAGGGCAAGGCAGCTCAGATGCCCAAGCTCCCTCAATTACATTAGAATTCATATGTACATAATCCTCTTATTTATTTTTTTGAGAGAATGCAAAGTTGCATTAATAAGAAAGAAATAACAATTTAATACAAATTGGGAATTAAAAACTAATAGATCCTTTCTCAATAGAAAAAGGATCCTTATTGAAAGCAATTTTGTTAATATTAAACTTATTATTTTTGAAATGAAACCTACTGTTTCTTATTTTGAAACTGTTGAGATGCAGGGGATACCAAAATTTGAAACAACCCAAGGGTTGGTTAGTATCCCAGAGTTCCCATCCGATTAGAGAATATGATTTAGTAACGATCCCATAAGCAAATATATTAAGTTTAAAAAACAAAAAGGTCCAAATAAAAAAGAAACTATAAAAGATAATCAAAAGAAAAATACAAAGATAACATGACAATCTTAAAACACCTATAAAAAATGATAATAGGTATTTTAGATGTCTTTTCCAATTTATGTAAGACAAAACTTTAAACTAATTTTTATTTTTTTTTTTTGGGATATTTAGGGCATTTAAGGCAAACTCACACACACAACGCATACACAGAGACTCGAACCTTAGACCTCTTAGTTGGAAGCCTTAGCTCTCAACCAATAGGCCAAGGAGAGTTGTGTATAAACTAATTATTTTATTAATCTAATTTAGCGAGTTAACCAATTGGAAACCAAAAAAAAAAATAAAAAATTGAAATCGTCAAAGTCGTGCTTTGAGTAATTTTTATTTTTATTTTTTTTAATATAAAATATTAATTGTTCAATGTTAAATTTTTAAGATATGATTTAGAGATGAATAATACTTGAGCTAAATGTTTTATTCTTTGAGTTGTTAAGTTGCGGTGAGTAGTCATATTATATGAGACGTAAAATTGTCTTATCAAATCAGGCTGTATTATCACATCAATTTGTAGGCATGTATTGTCTGTCATATAGACAGTAGCAATAAATTTTATTAAATATTTTTAATATTTCAATTGTTATATCTTAGGTGTGTTTTTGGTCTATAGAAGTTGTAGGTCCAGAGGTTTATTTGATGAGGAATATCTGAATCTTATAGCCTTAAGTTTATTTGTTAGAGTTGTCCAATCTCTCATACCTTACTCCACGAAGTACTTGCGGGAGATGGATAAGATTATAAGAATTTCCACCAAGCAGATGATTAAAGAGGGAAACACTCATTTGAAATAAAGTTAGACACTAAGCTATGATGAGAGCCTTGAAGAGAAGGCCAAATGTAATGAAATTTTTCTGTGTTATACATTTTTGGAGCAAAGATAAAGATTGCTTATTATGGCATACAAATGATGAAATGAAAGTAAAGCTATACATGATCCGTGATGTTCTTAGAGATGTGGGGTGAAGATATGTACAACAGATGTTTATAAAATATGATGGGCATTTGGTTTCGTCGGACTTTCTCAGGGGTCAAATTCATGAAATCAATCATGATAGAGAAGGTTCTGCTGAGGTGGTCATTAAAAGGTCAATAGTCGATATAGATCACTTTATTCTTTACAATAAATAGTATCATAAATGCGATGAATTCATGTTAGAATCCTATAAGATGCTTATTGAAAATGTTATATTAGGAAAGAAGATAGAGATTTTGAATGAAACAGACTGATAATATATTCAATAAGAGTTTAAGTACCACTTCAATTGTTGTCCAACAAAGACCCAACTCCAAACTCGCTTGTACATAATGATTAAAAATATGCAACATATTGTTTATGTGCTAATTTCAGTTGAAGTTACTAGTTATTTATTTTCCTTCAACTTTTAGTCTGTGTTATGTCGTATTTTACTCAGTTTTGTAACTGTTATTGAATGAATGTTAGTTTAGTGTGATTTGGAAAGATTTGATTAGGAGTAAGAAAGTTGTTTTTTTTTTAATCTTTAACTTCAAATTAGTCATCTAAAAACATGTATATCAGCATAATAACATCAAAATAGAATAAAATGTTGTACATAATACATATATAAGGAGTACAATGTCAACATCTCAAAATAGCAAAACATCCAAAAAGTATATAGTAGATATCACTAACGCCTCCTCTTATGCCGATGTGGTATTGTAGTAGTGTTTGGAGTAAAATGTTGTGGTGCACGCACTGGCTTACTGTGTAGATGGTGTTGGTCCTCAAAATTGACATCAGGGTGTGCGGCTGAAGGCTCTTCTAATGATGAAGGCATGAAATACGGTGTAAAGGCGGTGTGAATGTCTGGGGGCGTTAGTATCTAAAGGTGGCTTTGAGAAGGACCCTCATAGGGGTAAGATGATGGTCTAGCACCGTATGGATCTAAAGTAGAAGGGGCCTGGATGAATGGTGTGTGCTCATTAACTATCTCATCAAAATATTGATCATCATCAATGTATATATACTTGCACAATTTGTGGCATAAGCCACCTACAATGTTAATATCATGTTGCATGGTTGTATCCTTAATCCCTCCAAAGTATGATTGTAATCTCCTATCCATGTTCAGAAAGAAATCACATTGCACATATTTGCAAAGTTTATTAAGTTCAACAATAGATAGTGTAATTTAATAAAAGGAGACTCTCCATATGTCGTTCTACTAGAGCTCTGAGATAGTATATTCTAGGCGAGTCCACTGGTTATATATATATATATATATATCACTTTAGTTTTTTATTCTAACTCCTTTAGTGATGTATTTTCTTTTTGAAGTAAAATTTATTTCAAATTTAAAGTTGGACTTTGAAATTGAGATATGGACTATCTTTTTACAATAATTTATCTCATATAAATTGATATGTCATCAAAAAATTATCTTGATCGGGTACGAATCTCAGTGCAAAATCAAGTTGGAAACTTTTGAAATTAATATTGGGACCATCTGAACTCTGATTTCAAAAAACTTATAGTCAAACTGAGCGTCTCAAGAATATGAACCCAACAACATCAAATTCAACCCGATCCGAGCCTAAATGGGTCCAAATCAAGGGTTAGAAGCACTGTTGGAAGGTTCAAACCACAATTTGGATTACCAACTGATTTCCAAACATAATATGCTTAAAATCGAATCGAGTGGCTTGACGAGACGAATCCAACGAGCCCAAGATCACTGAATTATAACATCACTAGGATATTCAAATGTTTATAAGATAGCCATGATTAAGGGATTCAACATCGGTCGTCCATCCAACCATTCCCCATTTACCCTTGATCTTTCATCTATTTATGAGTCATGCCACTCCAGAAATCTATCAATAGACCTCTGATTTCTCTTGAAAGAGGATCCAAGAAAGAAGAGAAGAAGAGAAGAGAAGGAAGAAGAGAATGAAGAAGCTCCTTTTCGACCACCGTAGGAGTTTCGTCGGACCACCACTTGAGGCCCTCACTTTCACCAGACCACCACTTGAGGCCCTCACCTTCGTTGGACCACCACTTGAGGCCCTTGCCTTAGCTAGACCACCACTTGAGGCCCTCACCTCCGCTGGACCACTACTTGAGACCCTCACCTCCACCGGACCACCACTTGAGGCCCTGTGTTCTGCCAAACCACCACCTGACGCCCTGTGCTCCACCAGACCACTATCTGACATCATTGCTCCACTGGACCACCACCTGACGCCCTGTGCTCTACCAAGCCACATCCTGACACCCAGAGTTTTTCCAGATGACCACCTATGGCCTAGAGTTCTACCAGACCACCACTTGAGGTTCAAAGTTCTGCTGGACCATCACCAAACACTCGAATTTATATCTTATAGTTGATACTTGTAATCTGATTGCCCTTGGAGGTGAGTCAGCCCATTATAACCAACTCAAGTTCTAGCAAAATTATTTTCAACTAGGCCAGGCCCCATAAATTTTCCCTTTTTCTATGGATTTTCACATAAAAATCACGTGTTCTCTTGTGTGTGAGCTATATATCCATGCAACGCTAAGACACAGTATTCTAACTCTATCGTCGCATATATTTTAGCCCGTAATAGTTTGGTGCTATCTGTAGGAAAATCCAATCCCACTATCTTAAGTACTCCTCCAGTGGCCAACAAGTGTAGCCATCACATCTTGGGAGCCTCCCGCTCTAATTCACATCAATTCAGGAATCCTTCTATAAACTAGGAACACCAGATATCTGCTTCTTTTCACCCAAAGGGATGAAATCCTACTGGCGAAGGAACATCTGAACCTTCCCTGGAAGATCGTATCAAAAAGATGGAGGAGTCTTAGAATGAGATCTTTCAACTCTTACGACAGACTCGAGGACCGACACTAACACCCAAAGAAGATATTATTCTCCCTCGAGATCCAATATAATTTGAAGATGTTCTTCATGTCGAGGTTCCCCTTCCGCCACCAAGGATGTGCCCTCCAATACATCTAGAGAATGAGCTTACTAACACAATAAGCACTACCCATCATTCGCGCGCAGGCCGTCAACATCACATTCCTCTGGAAATCCCTACAGAATTAGCCCAACAACACATCACTGAACTCCTCCATAATGCCAATGCCCTACGACATGAATTATGAAGACTAGTCCGAGAGGAGTCCCCCACGTGAGATATAAGATAATCTCTTTATCAACGGAATTTCTAGGAGTCATCACCCATGACTGAAGCCATCCTTCAACATCCCATTCCGGTAAGATTCAAACTATCGAGCATCAATTCGTATGATGGGACATCTGACCCGTATGAATATATCGATCATTATAAGACCATGATACATATCTAGCGAGCCTCTGATGCACTCCTATGCCAAGTCTTTCCAGCTACCCTCAAAAGATAAGCTTGAACCTGGTTTTATTCACTTTCCGTCGGATCCATTCCAACGTTCGTCAAATTAGCCAAAATATTTGTCGAACAATTTGTTACCAATTAGAGGATGGTCAGAGACTCTTCCCACCTCTCAGGAATTTTCCAGAATGAAAATGAGTCTTTGAAGGAGTACTTTCAAAGATTTTTTACTGAGGCCCGACAAATTCTAGGGGTAGA